CGAACCATCGTTTGCCGAAGAGAGTACTGTTTTCCATGCCCAATTCGGAGTGGCGTAAATAGAGAGGTGGCCAACCCTTGACTTGGCAGAGGAGTATGAAGGAGATCACGAAACGCTTGGGTTCTGTCGGTGCTACTCGCCTTCCAGGATGGGGACCGCGTGATCTTCACTGCGCCTGGTTGGAGACACTACAGGATATGGCTGCCAACCGATGTCAGTGGCGTTGTTGCTGACAGTTTCTATCCAGATTGCCTGAGTGAATGTCTGGAGGTGTAGGCACCTCGGAATGATTGTGTTAAGCTAGCACTAAGTCCCTCCCCCATCCACCTTTATTCTTTTCTTTACAATAAGGCTTTCAAATAAGTCATGGTTGTACGACAGTGAAGCATAGGTGTTGAACACTGATGTCATGCTGTCGATGATGGTGATGATGATGACGATGCAGTAGTTATTCCAGGATCTAAACGAGGTGTATACGTGCTTCTCAGCAGTTCCGATGTTACCCGAAAGGTCGTTTATCCATGCACTTTTGGAAATCCAGGACAAGCTAGCCAAACAGACAAAAGTACGCGTGAAATTCCCAGACTCCGGTAATCGAGTAAGCGGTTTTGCAACCCACTAGGCTCCACATTCGCTCACATGAGAATGGGTTCGCACATTGTTGTTTTTTTTGACGCCTGAGTTACAAAGCATTTGGTTTGTAAGCGAACTAGAAAACTATGTAAAGACCCTAGCAAAATACACTCATCTGCAAACCGATTTGGTTTTTGAGTGAGACTCACCTGGAATCTCTCGTTTATGATGTTTTTAAGCGACTGAATGAGCTGCAATTGGCCGCCTCAGTTGCTACGATATTCGGGTGCGCCGACCTGATTAGCCACAAGACGGGTGAACCCGGGCTGTCGAAGAATTTTTAGTAACCTAATGAGTAGTGTGTTACGTCTATACCTCTTGTTTGTCCTCTAAATTCTCACTTCACTTGAACACCTGGGTTTTCCGCACCTAGTCAACCAGAGAAAGTCGCAGACAAATGAGCCATTCCGTGCGCATTCAATCCTGACAAAATGGATCGATTGAAGAGATGATTCCGAGCCATACACTTCTTGGCTTTTCAGAACAGAACACCTTCAATGAAAGTATGGAATCGCAATTGAAAGTTAGAAAATCTCCCCACATTACCACCAGTTCAAGAGGATGTCTCTAGTTCACCAGTCCACGGTATCAACACCTCCCTTATCGGCCAACAGTTCGGACGATTGTTCTAGAAAAAAGAACCTTGCTCTAATTTTGTGATGGATTGCACTGGTTTACGGCACAGACTGAATGTACAAAGGTCATCACCCTCTGGCTCAGTCTTTGCCAATGAAAAAGCGACAACAGGGGGGCGAAAACTGTCGCCCTGGCGCGGTTGATCGATCGATCGATCGGAAAGTGGTACAGTCTCGTGTATTTCATTGCAAGCACACAGCAAAAACAAAATGGAGACAAATTCGGTAAACTTTGATTCTTTGATCGTGCGTGGCAGACTAATGAGCTGTGGTCCACGAAATTAACAGCGGCCCCTCTAATGAATCCGATTAGCTTAGTGGGTCAGTCAGTTGCGAAACTGCTGATCGATTGCTATTATTCTGCCCTCGGAACAAGGTCAAAGCCTTAAAAAATATGTCCCTGAGAAAGCTAACAATCAATAAAAGTGCCTCACTTTGCTTTGAATGTTTACTTGTAATTGGTCAGTTTCTTTTGGCCTTGACCGCTCACATTCCTCATGGGAGACTAGACAGCTAAAATCTGGATTAGGGACATGAGAACCATAGTTCTTGGGGGGGGGGCAGGGTGAGAACTGTAGTCGAATGGAATTCCACTTTAGAATGCTATGAGGTAACAAAATTCGCAGCCTGTTTTCTTCTGAATCGACAGCTGATACGCTGTTTCTCAGTCGTTGATGCCAGGTCATCTAAGGATAAAACTTTGTGGTTTTCACCGGCTATGCTATGTCTACCGGGGCGCTTGCCGTTAGGTAAAGCTAGGTGTAAAACGACAGGGTTGACTGAACCTATTAAACCGCTTCATAGTAATTTATGCTCAAGTTTTTTCTGACTGCATTGCAATGGACACGTTATCAGTACATTTAAAGTAGATAAGGGTCGATAAAGCACATGTTATCTAAGCCGCTGCGTAGTTGAGAGAATCACGTGTTGTTTGGAGCACGTGACTAATTGACTGTTTCTGGCTTTCAGAATCATGCTTCCTTAGTGAGCACCCATGGACTGCAAACTTTATAGGATCTATCACCCTCAAAGACGTTTGAGGATGCCAGTAAAGTTTCCAAAATTATTTGTTTGCCAGATCACACGTGATGCCTCGGTCTAAATTAACCAGAATCGGGATTAAAACCGCTTAGTTAATCAGCGGCTCCCTGTACCCTGGTCACATACTGGAGAAAGGACGCCCACAGAGGCGGTTTAACTCCACGCTACCATAAATAGTGTATTGTAAAGTCCCTAAAGTACGAAATAGTAAAATAACCGTTCAGCTGTCTAGCTGCCTTGTCGTCTGAAGGGAGCGCGAGGGTTGGGATACTACCAGGTTGCCCAAGCTGAAATGAGAGTAGTTAAGATGCCGAGGCTTTTGGTAAGTCCGCGGCTTACCGACCAGAATTGGGATACTGGTTGCCCAAGCTGAAATGAGAGTAGTTAAGATGCCGAGGCTTTTGGTAAGTCCGCGGCTTACCGACCAGAACTCCCCACACACTGTGAGGAACGAGGGAAGCTAGACTTGGTCAATCACAATTGCTGACGTTAGTGTTTTTTTAGTGTCAAATATGTTAAATTCCCTCACAGTTACCGTTTCGGACATAGGTATGAGTTTGACTAACACTAGATAGTGAACTTTCGCCTAAGTTTGTTACACCAAGTGGTATCCGACAGGGCTGTCCTCTTTCACCTTTCCTCTTCAACTTCGTCACTGATACGATCATGGAAGACTCACCATCAGCCTCTAATGCCTGTGGGATCAAAGTCCTCCTGGGGCGTGTGTTCACAGAAATCGAGTACGAAAAAGACAAAGCTCTTCTTGGATCTGACCCCGTGGTAATTCAAACAGTATTAATTAATCTAATCACGATTTGATATGCGCTTCACACTTGCAAAGTGTAAACTACTACTGTAAGACTGGGTGGGCTCGAACCCTAGCCTCATGTTGGGGTAGTAGACAAGTTGGTCTACCTGGGCAGCTGCATCAGTCCCGGTGCTCTAGCGAAAGACGATATTTCCATCCGGAATGAGAAGGCCTGTGTAGCTTTTGTGAGCCTGCATCACCGGCTTGTCCATCAAGGGTCGAGTTTACGATGCTACGGTACCCTACATACACCGGGGTGCTGCGTACGTCAAAACTCTTCCAGTGTTTGACCATCAATGTCTTCGGTGCACTGCCCTAGTCTGACGGGAGAAACGGATGAGTAATGCTGATCGCTGTTCACAAGTGGAGCTGGCTTGGCCTCGCGCTGCGTAACCAATCTGACCGACTTCCTTGATCAGCACTTTCGCACAACCACTTAAAGGATGGAAACGAGCCAGGGGAGGTAAAAAAAATGGCTAGGCAGTGGATTACGAAAGTCTTTAGCGGCAAACACAGCCCCCACTGCTCACTGTCGTCTATCAGGAACACATCATGGCCCAGTCGCGCCTTCAATGGCACTCGTGCATCCAAGCTGTGGTCTCCAATGCATAGTTCCCTTCGCGAGCTCCTCAACAAAAAGCTCACTGACGCCATTTTATTTGCACATCGATTGTACCAGCTTTCGCGTCCATTACGCAGCTATCTACCACACCTCCCCATATTATCGATCAATGAAACTGTGATAGCTACAACCACTGTACTGCAAGTAAGCAGTTTTCCTACAAGAACAAATGACTTCCACTATCGGTACACAAAACCACCTGGTAGCGACTCGGAATAGCAATGGACACTCGGAGTTTCGTACCACAGCGCTTTAAAAGTTCTACCATGGGCATCTTGTGTGATCAACAGAAGAAAACTTACGTAAGGCCCTGCAAAGTATTAGTGGTCGTGTAAATTTGGAATGATATCACATCTCTTCAATGGTAATAACTGAGAAGTAATCGCCCTTCCCTGAACCAACGTACGATGAATCAAGAAGACGAGATATTACGCCCCTAATTGAAGTCGGTTCTTTTTGCAGTACCCTTCCGACCCTCCAAGGAGTTCGTTCCCCAAGAGGCTTAGTAATTCCTAGAGGATATTCTCAGTTTCTTCAAGCTGCTTGCTCAAGGGGGGGTCGAAGACTCGACGATGGCTCGACATGCTTTAGACATAGGACATGGATGTAGGAGTCTTAAAACAGGCAGTGCAATTCACACCTGATGCCCGAGACAGTGGAAAGTGTGAATGAAATCAAGAGTGTGGAGCTGGTCAGCGTATGAAGAGCGCGGTCTCAGATAAGTCAGGTTGATGCGTAACGTTGTTTGGTGATCAATGAACGTAGAATCATTAGCAAACAGGCGTAGAAATCCAAACCTGACCAAAGTTCCCCTGCACAACTCTCGTAGTAC